GTAAATAATGTCACCATCATAATTATCATTCCATCATGAATACCTAGAGATTGGTAAGGAGCAGGGCTTAAAACCTCAATTTGTTTTACATTCTTCTGGTTCGAGATTTGATTAATTAGCTTGCTTTATCAATCTGAATCTAAAAAGATAATCTGAGATTTTGTGAATTCACAAAGCTGTATGGATCAACCTTAGACACTTAAGTCTGCCTCATTTACCTACCTCTAATATCATGAGTGATCTACTGTATGACTGAATATGCTGTTTGCTGAAAATGATTAAAATGCTACTGAAGAATACATGCTGCCTTTAATAATATAATGCAAATATTAAAAATCACTTTCAATGTTATTGAGCCTGACCACTCTTTGAAAAGTTTAAGATCTCCATGAGTTTTTTATAATGCAAAAGAAAAAAGAAGTGAAGAATGTTGTTAAGTCATGAGTAACACAACATTCTCACTGAGTAGATCACCTTGTATTTGAGTCTAATCCAGTGGTTCTCAACCTTCCTAATGCCATGACCCTTTAATACAGTTCCTCATGTTGTGGTGACCCCCAACCATAAAATTACTTTCGTCGCTATTTCATAACTGTAATTTTGCTACTGTTTTGAATCGTAATGTAAATATCTGATATGCAGGGTGTATTTTCATTTTTACGAATTGAACATAATTAAAGCATAGTGATTAATCACAAAAACAATATAGCAATGCTCGCTAGAGAAGCTTACTCTTCCTTGCTCAAAAATGTTGGGAGGGAGGGAAGGGGAAGGAAGATTGAAGGGGAAAGGAAGGAAGGAGAGAGAGATTGAAGGGGAAGGGATGGAGATGGAGATGGAAAGAAGGAAGGAAGGAAGATTGAAGGGGAAAGGAAGGAGATGGAGAAGAAAGGAGATTGAAGGGGGAAGGAAGGAAGGAAGGAAGGAAGGAAGGAAGGAAGGAAGGATGGAAGAAAAGAAGGAAGGAAGGAAAGATTGATTTTTGGAGAGTCATGTTTTCCCAGATGGTGATGAACTGCAACTCCCAGCATTCCCCACTCTTCCACAGTGCTTGTTAGGGCTGCTGGGGATGGTAGTCTGGAGCCCCCCATCCTCATCCCAGCACCTCTTGCCCTCTCCCAGCTGCCCCCCTAGGACCTGCCCATCCCTCCAGCATCCTGAGCGCCATTGCAGTGGCGGGATTGTGGGAGCCCCTTTCCACGCCGTGCAGCCCTTCACTGCCACAACCCTTTCCCAACTCATCTCACGCGAGAGGGGCACGGCCGGAGCTCCAGCTCCCACTCGGAAGGTACTGCTTCTCGCCTCCTGGCCCGTCTGGCTGGCCTCTGATGTACTTGCGGGCATCACTCTCTTCCCCGCCGCCTGTCCACTTCCGAGGCCCAGAGCCTGGTGAGCTGGGAAGGAGTCACTCCTGCCCACCAGCCCCAGGGCCATGCTGGGTGCCAGAGGACCGAGGCGGCCTCCGACGGTGAGGAAGGCGGGCCGGGCGGCGCGGGGGAAGCTCCGACATGGCGGCGAGGGTGGCCAGGGGTGGAGTGTGGCTGGGCAACCAGGATGCTCTGCGTCGCAGCTCAGCTCAGCCAGCAGCGGCAGAGCAGCCCAGCGGCAGCACCAGCAGCAGCCCAGACCCGGCTCGGCTCGGACCGGCCGCCCACACAGCTGAGCTGGCCCGGGGCAGCATCGGGGATGCATGTCAAGCCCCTGGGCTTGCCATGAGCCAGGAGACAGGGAGGACACAGCCAGCAGCCGGCTGACATCCGCATGGCCCCCATGAGCACCACCCGACTCCCGACAGTCAGTTGGGAGTTGGGTTGGCATCTGGATGTCGGTGGGGAACCGGCAGGGCCGCTACACACATTGCCTGGCTCCCAACAGCTAGCTGAGAGTCGGCCCGGCATGCGCACGTCAGCTGGCAGTCGGCCCAGCCTCCGCGTGTTGGCCTGGCTCCTGGGAGTCAGCTGGGAGTCGGCCCGGTTCCCGGCCAGCAGCTGGGAGTCAGCATGGCCACCACGGGATGGCGCTACGGTGGCAGGAGCAGACACTGTCGGAGGAGAAGGGCGCCCTGGAGGCGGAGGAGCCAGCGGAGGAGGAGGAAGAGGGCGGCAGCAGCTGGATAGAAGAATGGTGTCTCGGTTCCTAAGACCATCGGAAATATGTGTTTTCTGATGGTCTTAGGCGACCCATGTGAAAGCGTCGTTCAACCCCCAAAAGGGTCACGATCCACAGGTTGAGAACCGCTGGTCTAATCCTACCAGGCTCTTGGTGGATAGCCTCAAATCTTTAATCCCCCCCCCAAAATGAGTTCCTTGCACATAAAATATTAATATAACAGAGAGTTTAGCCTTAATATCTCCCTAAAGTGATAGTTACAATGGATTTTAGTTGAAAACAAATTGCACTATTTGTCAATAAAGGTAGAATATACTAGCTAAATAATTATATATGAATGCTATGTTTCCAAAATGGTTTGAGGCTAATTTTTTTAGCTAGGTGTCAGTCATGCTTTAATGGGCTACATTCAATAATATAAATGAACTTATACATACAAGACAGACATTTCTTCTATCCTGCAGTCTCGGTGCATCTCTGAAATCTGTTCCAAAAGGTTATCCACATCCTAAGGGCAGGCAGAGTAACAGCTTATTGCAGGGATAAAATGAGTGCCTCCATTGGAGGATGCTATTTTCCCAATGATATTTGCAGTTGTCATTTAAATATGCAGCACTACTACATTAACAATATAGGTGTTTTACCAAGAAACATTCAAAGATTGGAGGAAATGGCTGATATATGAAATCTTATATCCTAGTCTTTCCCATCATGTTTTAGTGCAGTTTTACCATTGAATAGATTTTCGAGTACCAATACATAGTTATACATATTTCATAAAGGAAATTTCTCCTTCTAATAGAATGAGTACAGAAGTTTTCATGTATTATCGGATTAGTGGATCTGAGTGCATTTTATATTAGTACTTGGAGATGAGCTATAAATTACATACCAGTATAGAAAGAGTACTCCTTTACATCATTTGCATGTACAGAAATGTTGATTAGAAATAATGTTTAATTAATTCATGGAGATCAACAGTGACCATAATTATTAAAGGATAGATTGAAACAAAATGTATATTTCTAAATATTAGAAAATGGATAATGGGTAATAATAGGTATCATGCATTTTTGGGAATCTTCCCAAAGATTTATTCATAACTAAAAATAACATGATATATTACTAAAGCAATTATTATCTTTTACTCGATGCTGTTTTGCTGCTGCTGTTTTTGTTCAACTTAAGTATGCTTCTTCATTCTTCCATATTAGTTTCAATTTCATAGAACAAATATATATATATATATTTAAAAAAAAAACAAAAAGTAATTTTGAATGATAGTTCTTACCCTTCTATTAATATTTTATAGTTGTAGTTTCCTTCTTGTTCTGCTTTATTTTAAGTTTGCATCTTTCAGTGAGCTATCTGCAAAAGATACAAGGTAAAACATAATTATAAAGATGTAAAGTTTATAAATATATAGTGATTTGGGGACCCAGAAAGTGTGCCTTCTCTGTGGCAGCACCTTCCATGTGGAACAAGGTCCTCCCTGAGATCCAGAAAGCTCCCATCCTGATAACATTCAGGAAAGCTTGAAAGACCTGGCCTTGTAGAATGCATGTGACACCCCCTCTCCTCATTAGAGGTGATTTATATTGTTTTTTGTTTCTTTGACATTGTCTATATTGCCACTGTATTATTTCTTTAAGTTTTTTTGTGTATGTTTAATTTATGTTGCTATATTATGTTCTTGAGGGAGGTAGTACTAAAATCAAACCAAATAAATAAACAGGAGCACCTTAAATCAAGCCTGGTGATAATTTGGTAGTCAGTGCAGATCTTTTAGTAACAGTTTTGTATGATTCCTCTATCTTGTTCTGGCTACCATCTTTTCCTCAAACCTGACTACCTTTCATTAGTAGGCCAATGTGAGTGCATAGCAGTTGTCATATGGATTCTAAGAGTGATGTGGACAATCACTGCCAATTCTGAAGCAATTTTGTGAATATCTTCTTTGCAAATCCAGTGGGATCAAAGTGCACAAAGAACACTGGCAAACCTGCTCTTCCTGGGAAAATATGACTCATTTAGAAAAAGTTTTACCTCAGTCTCAGAGTCCTGCTTACACTTACCCATAACATTTCCATCTTGTCTGGATTTAATTATACCTGTTATTCCTCATCCATCCCCTTAATAAGATTAGGCAATATTCAAAGATACTGTTTGTGGATTTAGAAGGCAAGGAGCAGTAGAATTGGATGTAACTGTCATGCTACTGGCATCATCTAGAGGTCCAAATTAACTCCCATAATGGTTTTATGGAGATGTTAAACAATAAAGATAACAAAATAGAGCCTTATGGAAACATAGATCAGTTATGACCTGCTGCACTGGAGTGACACATAAGCCTAAGGAAGAAAAGAAAGAAATATATAAGTAAAGTAAATACATAGGGTGCTGAACAGTAGAAGTACTGTAAGGCAATGCTTCCGTGTGTGAAAATCACTGGATGATGGAATATAGTGTTTATATTATGCTAGATTTAACAATATTATATTCTGAAAGCCATCAGGAGATCTATGAGAACGAGTAGGTTCATATATTTTCAGATTAAGTCATCCTTTACTGACTTTATCGCATAGGCCATACCAGATGAAACCTCAGATTCATTTAGACTTGAGAGACAAACATTTTCTCTATCAATTTACCTGAGAATTGAATATTTGATATTGTCCTAAAAGAGGAAATTTTTAGGTCAAGGAAGTGCTTTCAAGTTTTCTAAATGAGTCTTTTAGGTAGGCAAGAATACATCTGACATTCAAGGAGTTTTTGACCATGGAACCAGTTCCAACCTGGATAATATAATCATCCACAAATAAGTATAGTCAAGACAGTGGGACTTTCACTTTCTATACATCCTGTCCACATCTTCATGATCTGAAAACTGA